ATTGTGGGCTAATTGTATATTGCTTGGGCTGGTCCGACTGAGGTTCTCAATATGGGCCTCATGTAGGCCCAACCCAGTTTCGCCACTGGCGTAAGACTAAGCCCAACAAGCAACAACCACAAGAAGCATTCCAATTGCTGATGTTTTCGTTGCTCAAAAACAAAATGCTGATGTTTTCGATCCATCCATGTCCAGGACTACAAGGCCAAGCTGTCAGACTTCGGTCTCGCCAAGGACGGACCGGAGGGCGACGACACCCACGTGTCGACGCGCGTGATGGGAACGCACGGCTACGCAGCGCCGGAGTACATCATGACGGGCCACCTGACGGCGAAGAGCGACGTGTACAGCTTCGGCGTGGTGCTGCTGGAGATCCTGACGGGGCGGCGGTCCGTGGACAAGACCCGGCCCAGCCGGGAGCAGAACCTGGTGTACTACGCGCGGCCGTGCCTCAAGGACCCGCTCAGGCTGGTCAGGATCATGGACCCGGCCATGGAGGGCCAGTACTCGGCGCGGGCGGCCCAGAGCGCGGCACTGGTCGCGTACCGGTGCCTCAGCAGCAGCCCCAAGAACCGGCCGGACATGTCCGCCGTCGTGCAGGCACTGGAGCCGCTGCTCGACCTCAACGACGACGTGCCCGTGGGACCAGTGGGCCCCGTTGGCCCCGTGGTGCTGTTCGTGGCGGCGGCGGAGGCCCCGGCGGCAGAGGAGAAGAAGGAGCGGGCCCCGAGGAAGGACGTCCGCCGGCGGAGGCCCATGTCGCCCAAGGCAAGCCCCAGGAAGCGCCCCGGCGCCGGCCCGAAGGAGGAGTTCTGGGTGTGGCATCTGCCGGCCGAGCAGAAGGCGTGACGTGACACGTCCGTGCTTGAGCAGCGGTGTGCAAGCGTGCGTGTGTGTACAGACGAAGACGAGGTGGCGAGGTGTTATTGGTTAGGATCGTGCGCATCCCTGTAAGGTTCTTCTTGTTTCTCTCCTTTTTCAGTCTGCTGTTACAGTGAGATGCAGAGTGTGGCTCAAAACTCGAGCAATATTATACACCGGAAGCCTTCGTTCTCTACTCCAGTACTCTTGCATGCTTGTATTCAGATGAAGCAACAACAGCAATTGGCAAACGTACATAAACGTTTGTATACAGGCCGTGGGCATGTGACAAGAGGGTATAAATCTTCAGCAGTGATTGGCACTTGGTATCCTTTCTTCTATTTGGCTATACTCTCTTGGTAATTTATAAACCAACAAGACAGTAGTATAAGAGAAACGTTTCGTGAAGATTTGACGACTTTTGGACATAAATTTTAAAAATATGCTTCCTTTTTCTTTTCCTTTCTTCTTCCTATAAACTCAGGCGAAATAATTCTCTCTCATACTCAAATTCTAATTGCTGTCAACTTGCTCCAGATTTACGCTTGACTTGTACTAGAATTGTGGTGGTTATTTTGATATAATTTCTAGATAAATTTGTTGTAACTAAAACCTCGGGTGCAGAGAATGATTCATCCGATTCTTACAAACCTTTAAGGCTCTGTTTCAAATACGAGATTTTTTTTTGTGTTCCTGTATTTTTCTGCCTTCCAAACATGCCGTAATCAGAGAGTGCAAATCCTATAAAACACCTAGTTTTTTAATATAAAATTTCGGTGTAAGGGATCAATTGGATACGATCGATACAGCAATACTGTTAATTTAATAAAGAATAGTAGCTTTTTGTCCCTTCTCTGTTGAACAATTTTCTAAACAGACGCTGTTGAACAACTTTCGGCTGTCTTGTAGTTATCCTGATGACGTCCGTCAGCTCTTGTATCTTGATACGCATTTTTATTTTTTGAGAGGAATCTTGATACGCATTTGATGACACGCATTGTTTATATAGCTCAGAACCGATCGCTGAAATCAGCGAGCGAGAAACGCGCGCCCAGTGTATAACACCAAGTCGTCTCCCACGTCGCTGTCCGGGTCTCGCATGCAGCCGGACGACCCGGCACGGCGCCGACGTCCGAACGCCATTGGCCTCGTCCTCGTCTGCCCCGCGCCCATGCACCAGCCACCTCCTGCATCGCGTCAGGCGCGCTTCGTCCATAAATAAACCCGCGCTGGCGCTGCTCTCCCCTGCAGTCCACACTACGCAGAGACACATCAGGCATACACGCTGTGATCACTGATCAGGCGGCCGAGATGGATGGTGCTAGCACTGGATCGTCTTCCTGCACCCCTCTTGGAATCTCCCATGGCGATGGCGGCACAGAGACGGCGCTCTCAAAGTGGCAGCTGCTGCCATGGCTTCACGAAGCGGTAGTAAAGGTCGTCGCGGCTGATGACGATCGTGACGACCTTGCCGGTTCAGCGGCGGCGGCGAAGACAGGGAAGCGGCGGTCGACGGCGCAGGCTGGCCTTCCGCGCGGCGTGAAGGTGTTGCTGAGCGAGGTGGCCGAGATGATCAGGACCAAGTTCGAGCGCTCGATCCCGGCAGCCAAGTTCGGCCATGTCGCCTACATCAGATGAAGCTACCCGTTTATCTGATCATGGTGTCATCCTCATGCTCTGCCCTTGATGTCAGCGGCCTGGCCACCCTGCCACAGTGACAGCGGCGGATCCAGAAAATATTTTAGGAGGGCTGAACAACACTGCTGTTCGATCTTAAGTCTCAACCCCCTACACTATAGATCTTTGCCTAAAAATTCATATGAGCTCTACAGTAATTTGCACTGCTTCGATATGGGTAGGGGGGGCTTGCACCCCACTGCTGGATCCGCCCATGCGCTGCTCCAGATAGCTTCTAGTGCGTGCGTCGTGGTGTTCATGTTTGCTTTCTGATGACTTGTACATAATCTTTACCTCTGTATGTACTGTACTGTCTCCCTAGTTACCTAAGCAAGGGGAAAAATAGCAGGACTTGCCCTGCTTTGTACTCTAACATGCTTCCAGCACTGCAGTTATATAGATCTTGGATGGCTTTTGATCTAGTAGTGATTATTGGAAAAGGTTTGAACTGAAAACCTTTTGGAGCGTCCGATCTGCCGCTAGATTCACGAAACCGGGCCCCGAATCTATAATATTTTTTTCTCATAACAAAACAAAACAGTTTCAACACCGACTTATCAGCCGATTTTAATGCCAGCCAAACAGACCACGCTGAAGGCGATTCCTGATTCCTCTTCTGAACGACACCTACAGCACGCAACCGTACCTTGCGTGGCGTGATGAGCATTTCCTTGATCACAGTTACGCTGATGCTTACATCTCTCGGCATTTATGCGTCGCTCATGCAGTAGAACGAGTCAAATGATTATAAACGTTGCTTTCTCTGAGGCTGTGTTTAGTTCGCGAAATTTAAGAATTTGGTTACCATAGCACTTTCGTTTTTATTTGGCAATTAGTGTTCAATCATAGACTAATTAGGCTCAAAACGTTCGTCTCGCGATTTTCAACCAAACTGTACAATTAGTTTTTTTTCGTCAACATTTAATGCTCCATTCACGTATCGCAAGATTCGGTGTGATGGCTACTATAGTATTTTTTGGGAATCTTTTTGAACTAAACATAGCATGAGTCTCTCTCACTCCCTTTCTGTATATCCCTTTTCAAAAGGGTCGCGATCAGTCTACAGCCCCGTTGCAATTTGCTGATCTGCGAGCACGATGGGTGATAGCCAGCGCTCGGGCAGCAACACGTTAGAGACGCCCACAGTAAGTGGCGGCTACAGAGGCTCGAGGGAAGGTGGATGCGCCGGGCCCGGGCGCATCGAGTGCCCTGTGCCCATGTGGCAAGTCTCTGCCCTTGTGGTGATACGCAGGCATGGCAGCAGAGTAGCAGCCAGTCTTTCAGAAACAGCGAACCCACTCCACTGTTTCGACGACCCAAACACGTGCGGCGTGAGCTGAGGTTTCATCACGGATCACGGGCGCGGAACCAAGACATGAAAGTCCGCGAAGAACCTGCCGGCCGCCGCGTTGGGTGGGGCGAGGAGCAGCGGAAGCTTTGCGTGTGTTGAGCCAAGACACCTGACGAGTGATTTGGCTGCTCAGTCTTTCACTGTGCTGTTATAGGCAGGCATGCCAAAGACACTGTACAGTGCCGCAGTGCGTGACTCCAGTGTCTCATCTCTTTGCAAAGGTTGCACCACATCCTTTTGACTGCTGACACGTGCTGGCGCGCCGCTATGAGCACACGTGGTGGCGCCTGGCCCGTGAGGGCAAGCTGAGGAGAGGAGGCCACAGCCTTCGTCACACGCGTGGCGTGGCGCCTGCCGAAAATAGGCAAAGCTGCAGAGGCTGGCAGGAGGCCGGCAGCCGCTGCGTTTCGACAGCGCAGCACGTCGTCGCCGGCCGCGACGCCCACACGGGCTGCCCTGGCTTCGAGTGCTTGCCTTCCCATGCAGTATGCAGCGACAGACAGGGGAAGGGTGGAGTATTTCCGAGGCAGGCTAACCTCCGATCCCCTCTCGGAAAAGAGCGCACGAGGGAGACACAAGATGCGGTGCATGGAGGACTCAATTATTGGGCGCACTACAACGCGCAAAAGGAGCAGGACTGCTGACTGCAGGAGGAGTATCTTCCTACTATAGCGCACGTGATCCTGTTCCCCGGCCCTGGCCTATAGTAGGAGTACTCGTACGCGACGTGGCAGCCGAGCCGACAGAAGAACAAGGCATGCATCAAATCAAATCAATTCGAACGTTTGTCTTGTCCTGTCCCCTTCCCTTCCCTCGTGCTCAGACTTTCCAGGTTTTTTCTTTTTTTTGGAGACGCTCCGCGTCTGTGTGTCCGTGCTGTGCAGCAGAACCCATCGGTACGTAGCACGTCTACAAACTGTACAGTACTCTACTGATCTAGAAGCGTCGTGGAGGTTCCAGCTCCAATTATTGGCACGTACCTGCACGGTTCGTAAGGCAAGAACAGACACTGAGCCGCGGTCGATCGGGTGAACAGCATAGCGGATCGGTTGGTTGCAACCACCTTACCTAACAGGGCGCTGATGCGCATGAGTAGCCTCCAACGGACCAACCTCACTGAAAGGCACCCGCTGCAAACCGGACGAAAACGTACGTGCACGGCGATGATATTGGCCCGGGCTCCGAAACAGTGGGAGGCGGCATCACTACCGTCAGCGACTGGTGTGAGCGTCAGCCGGACCAATGATTTGTCCGAAGGGGAGGGACGGCACGAGGGCCCCCCGGCTCGCTCTACCGGTTCCAGCCAGCGATCACCGGAAACGGAAAGGGAAATGTGACCGACTCACCGGGAAGTAGCGACAGCCCGTTCGTTTGGCTGTGGTTTGTCGTAAACGATCATAAATTTTTAGCCGGAACGATTTTTCTCACACAAACCAACGCCATGATCTTTTTTCTGAGCCAAAGAACGATCACGAACCATGAGGCGCCCCGCCTGGGCGGGCCTCTGGCTAGACGCCACGGCTGGCTGGCTGGAAAGCCCGTGAAGTCTGCGCGGAGAGGGTACCGACAACCGAGTGAGCAGTCGGGCACGTTTGCTGGCTGTTGCGGGTGCAAGGCACCCGTAGCCGTAGCTCACTGTTGTCACGTTGGTCCTGCTGTTACAGTACAGAAGTGCTGTTGTTGTGGACGCTGCCGTTTCTTCCGCAACAGTCGCGTCTCTGTCCACTTGTCCCTCGAGTGGAGAGAGCTCCCTCGTGAATCGTGATGGTGGTCATCCGTGTACACACAGAGACGCTCGCTCGTGATGCACATGACCTGACCATCTGTGTCCATCCCGTATCTGAGCACGAACGATCACTGCTTATATATAATTGCTCCTCCTATGATCTTGTCCTCCACTGCTCATAATATAATATAATATGTCCTCCACTACTCCTCCAACGGGGGCTCATGGGCCCAG